CTCTCCAGAAGCCTTTCTTGTCATAGTCCTCATCAACTGCTGAATTAGGACCACTAGTAATGAAATCTCATGGCAGGCAATAGCTACCCTGTGTGGACTTAGCACCAGGATCTAATGGTGTCTGTGTCTATCAATAGTCTGAAAACTCTTTCAGGGAAAGGACTACGTGCATTTAGGGGGAACTGAAATGCCCCTCCAATTTTTTTTTTGTCAAATCTCAAACATGTAAGCCGGGCGCTGGTGGCTCACGCCTGTAATCTTAGCTACTCAGGAGGCTGAGATCTGAGGATCGCAGTTCAAAGCCAGCCCGGGCAGGAGAGACCGTGAGACTCCTATCTCCAATAAACCACCAGAAAACCGGAAGTGGCGCTGTAGCTCAAGTGGTAGAGCGCTCGCCTTGAGCTGAAGAGCTGAGGGACAGCGCCCAGGCCCAGAGTTCAAGCCCCAGGACCGACAAAAAAAAAAAAAATCTCAAACTTGTAGACTAGTTGGAAATTTGTATAGTGATTGCCCTATACCTGACTTGGATTCAACAAAATTTTAATACTTAGGGCCATGGAAACTTTCCTCAGTGCTATAGTCCCACTAGAGCTCTAGGTGAATACGGTACGGGCATTTTGTTTTCTCTCCTAGTGAGTAGGGAACCATCTCAGCCAGAAGCTTTGAGAAGAGTTAAAGCCATCAAGCATATTGGTATACACCACCAAGCAGCTAAGGTAAGAGGATCTGGAGTTCAAGACCAGCCGTGGTTTCAGAGCAAAACCCTGACTCAAAAATTTACCCCCCCCCAAAAAAAAAATGGGCGTTGGTAGCTCATGCCTGTAATCCTAGCTCCTCAGGAGGCTGAGATCTAAGGATCACAGTTCAAAGCCAGCCAGGGCAAGAAAGTCTGTGAGACACCCATCTCCAATAAATTATTAAAAAGCCAGAAGTGGAGCTGTAGCTCAAGTAGTGGAATGCTAGCTTGAGCAAAAAAGTTCAGGAATAGCACCCAAGCCCTGAGTTCAAGCCTAGAACACACACACACACACACACACACACACACACACACACAATTTACAAAAAATTTTAAAAGCTGCCATTTAATAGCAAGACTTAAGCAGCCCTCCCAAGTTCATAGGGTAAAATTAGCTCCCACAAATTCTTTCATGGAAAACTTGAGAGAGCTAGCATTGACCACGCCCTACAGTGCCACTGCCAATCCTGGGATTGGTTCTAAAAATAATCAACCAGATTGTGCTTTCTGTAGGCCAGCATTTAATGGCTGAAACCCCAAACTGAAAACTGAGAGAAACTTCCTAATGTAAGAGGTAGAAGTTACAGGTTTTTGAAGTTCTGCCCTGTGCCTCGCTGTTACCTCAGATGAATCATGTTAACTTCCCAGAGTACAGAGTAAGTAGCAGCCCAAGGCACTATTATTAGAAGTTTGGGTTAGGAGTTGGAGGCATGGCTCAGTTGGTAGAGCACTAGGCAATGAACAAAATCTATAGATACTGAGAGGTTACAGTCCCTGTCTTGGACAAAAAAGAAAGAAAAGAAATTTGGGGTAAAAAACTCCAAGGATCTTCTCAAATTCTCTAATTGTCTCACTGTGTCCCCAATTTGTCTCTCCAAATAGGCTAGAAGCTTAAAAGCCATGAACTTTATCTACTACTTTTTTGGTATAGATGACAAAGGCTAGCCGCAGACTTGGATACATGAGTCAGTCATGGACGCAGTGGAGAAATAATGTTGTCATACAGAATGCTTTGTGGTATCCATTCATAGGGGAAGGCATTGAATTATGCATACAAGAACAAATTCCAAGATGCACACTTGCCCAAATACAGACCCTTCCCCAAGCACTCCAGACCTGTTAAAGCACTAAGGATATTTAGGCACAGTGACCCTCAACTGACTTTAGAAAAAGAAAAACCAAACACACACACATGAAGGCACTATTGGCATGATACTCTATCTCAGTGCTTATTAAGACGTCACCCCTGGGGCTGGGAAGGTGGCTCAGTGGTAGAGCGCTTGCCTTGCATGCCTGAGGCCCTGGGTTCCATTCCTCAGCACCATATAAGCAAAAAAAAAAAAAAAAAAAAAGACGTCACCCCTGCTGGGCACTGGTGGCTCATGCCTATAATCCTAGCTATTCAGGATCATGGTTCAAAGCCAGCCACGGCAGAAAAGTCTGGGAGACTCTTGTCTCCAATTAACCACCAGAAAACCAGAAGTGGAGCTGTGGATCAAAATGGTAGAGTGCTTAGCCTTTAGCAAAAAAGCTCAGGGATAGTGCCCAGGCCATGAGTTCAAGCCCCGTAACCATCAGGCTTATTCGTGTGTGTGTGTGTGTGTGTGTGTGTGTGTGTGTGTGTGAGAGAGAGAGAGACAGACAGACAGACAGACAGACAGACAGACAGAGAGAACTGATGCTTGAACTCTGGACTTCCACACTGTCCCTAGTCTTTTTCGCTCAAGGCTAGTACTCTGAGCCACATCTCCACTTTGGACTCTTGGTGGTTAATGGGAGATAAGAATCTCACAGACTTTTCTACCTGGGCTGCCTTCAAACCTCGCTCCTGAGATCTCAGCCTCCTGAGTAGCTAAGATTCCAGACTTATTCTTTAATTTTCTCAAACCCTAGATACAAGAAACCAGCAGTAACCAGCCACCCAAGGTCTCCTGAGTCTATCCCTACTTCTGCCAGTAAATTACAACTTCTTGCAGATGCAAAGCAGAGACAAATGACATATAAATAAGATCTTCACTGGCTGGGGGGGTGAGGGTGGGGGGAATGGAAGCATGAAGAGTGACGTCAGTTTTCCCAGAAACCCATTTATCACAATAACAAGGTCTCAAGTGCTTGGGCTGATTTTTCGGCTCCAGAATCTGCCATTGCAATTATGTACTTCAGTATACAACATGGCTGAAGGCAGCCAGAGCAAAGTGGAACCAAGCAAAGCAAACCAAGAGGCCTTCCATCCCCTGCTCCCCATTTTGCAGAACAAAAGAGCTCCCTGGGTTGCCTTAGTTGTGTTTGAAGTGAAATAACCTTCTGGAATGTTCATTTAACAACATCTGCCCTGCAATCCTAAGCCAGGCAAAAGGAGTGTGGTGAGAGTGTATGTATGGATCAATGCAAATTCATTATCTAACAAGAAAAAAAATCATTAGTGCCATTTTTGGTCACTAAGAATAGAGCAAGTGTGACCCAGGGGGGTAATTTCTCTACTTAAGTATGCCATCTGTAAAATGTACATAACAAAGAATAAAAAAGCACTCTGGTTGCCCTCTAAACACTAAAACAACACATATTACAGTGCCAATCTTGGGGGAGAATTCTCTTAAATTCCATCATCAGAGAGCACTATCTCCTAACTATTCCTCATAACCTTCCTCCCTAGGACTGCCTACAGAGTTCTGTGTTAGCTACACAAGGGGATGGGATGATTGCAAAGAAACCATCTTCACCTTCCTTCCAATGTGGGACAGGGAATGGACTACCTTTCTCTGTCCTGTAGAGAAAATGAATGTCAGATTTTGGACTCAGATCTTGAAAATCAACGTTGATTACGGCAAATACCTACAGGCATTTTCCCCCACTGGAATTGCATTGCATGGACTATTTCTCTAAATAAGCTATGAGGTTTAGCAACATTTTTGTGTGGTTCAGAGATTTTCATCAAGTAGTATTTGGTGTAGGGGGATTTACTCTACCTGTTCTACCTCATGAACTCAGGATGCTGGTGGGCTTTTTAAAATCCCAGATATCCATAGATAAGGAGTGGATTGTTCCCTGCAAATGGAATCAACTTCTCCCTTTGCAAGCAAACTTCTGGTCAAAAAAAAAGAGGAGTATGGGGTCTTCTCTGTACTCCCACGCTGGAAAACTTCAGTTTCTAAAATGAAAGGGTTTTTTTTGGGGGGGGGAGTTGTTTGTTGTTGGGGTTTCGGGTTGCTTTTTTGTTTTGTTTTGTTTTAACCAGAGTTGAAGCCAACAAGAAGGAAGAAAAAAAAGAGTCAGTACTGCATTTCAAGTCTCACACTTATTTTCCTGAGTCCCCACAGAAAGAAGCCAGCTCCACAGGTTTTGGTAAACAAGCCCAAGCTACCCTGAACACACACTGGAGACAGACACCACCCCCCCCAGGCCCACTCAGAAACGTGCCCAAATATGCAGCCATGGAAGTACAGGCCACTGAACTGCACCCTCACACACAGAGGCACACAGGGGACCCCGTGGCACAGAGCACAAGCTGCTGCAGTCGCATTCGGACGTACCAACGCACAACTCAAGAAGTAAGCACACCTCTGTCTCTATACAAACAGATCGATTCATCTAGGGTCATAGATAGAAGGCCAGGAGCCACATCTGCCTGGTCGGGGGAAGGCACGAAAGCGCACGCGTGCCCATATACAAGCACACACGGCTAACACATACACAGACGCAGTCACATATGCAATGCATATGGAGAAACCCTACTCCAGCCAGTCACTTCCCCGCCCCCCTCATCCCTCTGCCCCAGGCTAGCCCCTGCCCCTCGCCCCTTAGCCACAGCTAGCATGAGTCCCAGCAGGCAGTAGTGTGCCGGGGGGGCGCAGCAAGGTCGGAGCGGGGGGCGGCCAGGGACCCCAGGACTCAGCGGCTTGTGCGGCCATTCATTCGGCAACGCCCCAGCCAGCAGCGCGACCGCAGCTGCAGCAAAGGAGGCGGCAGCGGCGCCTACTGCAGCGGGCTAGGGCCACGCAAGTTCAGCTGCCGCCTGCAGGCTTTTTGCCAAGAGTCCCCCCCCCACACACACCGATCAAGCCAAGGGAGTGGGGGTAAGGGGAACTAGTCATTGACCTACCCCCCAACCCCGAAACCAAAGTCCTTCCAAGCCTCAGATCTTTAAGGCTGCCCACTGCCTCCTTGCACGCGGGTTGGCGATGAAGTCCCCCCCCGGTTCGTCCCCAATCCCCTCACCACCACCACCAATTCCTCTTGGCGCTGGCAATCCAAAGCCCGCACTCACCACCTGGCGAGCTATGTCGGCCGCTGCCATCGCTCCCGCGTCCGCCAGGGCTGCCACCGGCGCCGCCGCTGCAACCGGAGCCACAGCACAGGAAACAAGAGAAGAGCTCCTCCGACAAAGAGAAAGTGTTACACTTCGGGCGCGACCAAGTCGGGGGGGGGGGGGGGAGGTGCGAGGGAGGGGCCCCCTCGTCGCCCGCTCCAAGCCTAACCTCTCCTCTAACACCCACCCCCTCGGAAGTCCCGGTTTGGGGGGGATGGGATGGAAGGAGCACACCGCCTCCCTCCCTTCCCCCCACCTCCACCCGCCAGCCCAGTTCCACTTCTCCCTCCAACCCTAGCCCCAGGCTTCGGCCAAGGGGGCGGGGGCTCCCCTCGATGACCATGTCCTCTGCCCCCTCCCTCCACTGGGCTCCGTGGTACGTCCCGACCTCCCTCTGATGAATTATCCCCCCCCCTTTATATCCCTGAGTCCCCAGATCGCCCCCCCCTCCACACACACACACTTACACCCCAGGCTGGGAAGGAAGGAACCCCTCCCTCCTCCCCCCTCCCGTGCTCAGCTCAACACTCCTTCCTCCCAGCCCCCTAAACCCCCTCTTTGACTTCAGCCCCTGAGTGCCAATGCTCCACACCCCACCAGGACCCAGGAGAATTGCTGCGGCTGGAGGGGAGGGGTTGGGGCACCTGCAGCTCCACATTGCAGCTTAGAAAATGGGATGCCCCCCAACCCAGCTGTAACTTGTACATTCTGAAGCCAGGACCTTTCTCCTGCCCTAGGGTCCCCAAACCTTGGGTGCTGTGGGCTGGAATTTCAAGAAGCCTAATTCACCACCACTGACTACTTAACACAAATGGTCCTCATGGCTCTTTTCCCTCTGGGCCCGTGTCCCAGAACCTTAACTTAAACTGAGGTTCCAACTATCCACCCTTCCTAGGCCAGGGCCCCAACGGTATTGACCCAGATGGAGAAGCAGGTAGGGGGAGCTGAATCAGGCTCTCTGTCCTGCCCCCCAATTCCCTATGAATTCTTATTTTATTTTTTCTCCAGTTCTGGGGCCTGTCCCTGAGCTGTTTTTTGCTCAAGGCTAGCTCTCTACTACTTTTGAAGCAGAATAACTTATGGAACAGGCCTGCGGTAGGCAACTCAGAAATATGTTATCTAAAAACTTAGAAATGCTATCTTTGTTTCAAACAAAGGCAACTGAATACATTCTTTCCTAAGAGATGCATCTCTCACCCAAGAATTCACAACTGCCTGACAGGATGCCTTTAAATGCAGATAGCAGGGTGTCTCCTTGTTTAAAGGATAAGGATCTGTTTTATGGCAGGATACATTCTTACCTGGAACACCAGGTGTAGTTAAAAACGAAGACAAAGCACCTAGTTTTGCATAACTTAAGGCCAGACCCCCTGCCTTTACCCTGTATGTACCCAACAGCCCAAGGAGCTGTGTGTCTCTCTGGGTGTCTCCTTGTGTGTGTCTGTGTCTTTGTGTCCCACACTCTGCTAGAGTGTGCCCCTGCCCTTCTGTTTGTCTGCTTTTTTGTCTGTTTCCTTGCTTCTTTTACTTAATAAAGCTCTGCCAAGTATTCTTACCTTTGTGACTTGTCCAGAAATTCTTATTCTGCGATTGAAGTCAAGAACCCGAAGTAAAGAGTTAACATATTAATATATTTAAAGGAGAGCTTCACTAATCCTCACCTCTGTCCGGTGACACTTTGAGCTACAGATCCACTTCTGGTTTTCTAGTAGTTAATTGGAGATGAGTCTCTAGGACTTTCCTGCCCAGACTGGCCTTAAACTGCTATCTTGAGATCTCAGCCTCCTGAGCAGCTAGGATTACAGGTGTGAGCCACCGGTGCCCAGCTCCCATGAATTGTCATTTGTAGTAGAGGAAGGACTAAAAGCAAGGACTATGCCAGCCTGCTGCCCTTTTCTTTCTACTCATCTGCCCTGGTGAGTTCTCTCCCTTGTTCTCACAACTCACCATCTCTCCATCCCTGGCCACTTGTGAGCTGCCTGTGAGTATTGAACCCTGGCAGATTTAACGAGCTAAAGGCCCAAGAGGGTGCAAACAGGTAGGATGCCTGGTCTCAGAGATAAATGCCACAAGAAGGGCAACAGCTAATGGAGAAAATCCTGGCTACGAAGGGATCCTATAGAGAGTGAGAGAAGACCTTCAAGATTCTCAATGCCAGAGAGACTAAGGTTGAAGAGCTAAGTGAAGGAAGGCATTGAGTAGACAGAAGGAGAAGGAAACCCACTATTCTACGCCTTAAAGGGAAGCAAGGAAATGGTAAGGCCATGGGAGCCATCCTTGGCATTTGATTCTCTTCTCTCCCCTACCCACCCCCTCACCCCCGCCCCCAGAGGTAGCCCTCCTCATACTCTCTGGGCAACAGCTGATTGATTATCGTACTGGTGTGTGAACCCAGGGCTTTACTCTCACTCAGCTGCCTTGCTTCCTCATCTGGCATTCTACCACTTGAGACACTCTTCTAGTCTTCCTTTTTGTGAATTATTTTTTATGGGAATCTGCTTTTTTCTCCTAACTCAATATTGCTCCCAACAGCTTGGCCCACTAACTACCTTTCCCCCAGGGGATCTCCCAGCTCCATCTTAGAATCTTAATCTAAATATGAATGCCCACTCCCTCCCCCCCCCCTCAGGTGATAGGTGCCAGGAGAGACTGAGAGACAAAACCAGACACTTGTTCCAACAATAAGTTCCCTGAGCCTGACTTGCATCATAAATAAACCCGGCACCAGAAACTTGCTAAACTCTTGGATCCCTTGAGCTACTCGAGACCCTGCCCCTTACCCATTACCTTATTTAAGTTCCTCCACCTCTTACCTCCCATGATGCCTCTTGTCTCCTGACTCTCCTTGGATCCTTCAACTTTTCATTCAAGTTGGTCTGGTCAGTTGAAGTCATAGTCTACTCTTTCATTGTTCTAATATCCCCGTGACTCAGTTTCCTAACAGTTTGGACATAGAGTCTCTTGGACTTTTCTGCCTAAACTAGCTCCAAATTCTAGCCCTCAACCTCTCCTGAGTAGCTAGAATTAGATGTAAACCTCCAGGGCCTGGCTCTTGTGTATTTTGACTACAAAAACTGCAAAAAAGGGCTGGGAAAGTGGCTCAGTGGTAGAGCGCTTGCCTTGCAATGCATGAGGCCCTGGGTTCGATTCCCCAGCACCACATAAGCAAAAAGAAAAAAGCCGGAAGTGGTGCTGTGGCTCAAGTGGTAGGGCGCTAGCCTTGAGCTGAAGAGCTGAGGGACAGCACCCAGGCCCAGAGTTCAGGCCCCACAACCGGACCCAAAAAAAAAAAAAAAAACTGCAAAAAAATCTGCCCCAATATGAAATGCAAGGCCTAGCATCTACAAGGTAGTTACTCTGTTCAGCATTTCCCGAACAAGAGGGAGACCATTCCAATAGGGACCAAAGGAAAAAAAAAAAAACAGACATAGCTGGGAGTTGATGGCTCGTGCCTGTAATCTAGCTACTCAGGAAGCTGAGATCTGAGGATTGGGGTTGAAAGCCAACCCAGGCAGAAAAATCCATGAGATTCATTGCCAATTAACAACAACAACAAAAAAAAAAAAGGCAAAAAAGCTCACAGATAGTGCCTAGGCCAAGTTCCAAGCCCCAGGGCTAATGGGAAAAATAACACAAAACACAGGCATAATGGTAATGAGACTCTAGGAGTAGCAGTAGGGGGACAGTATTGAAAGCTAAGTATCCAGAAGGTGTCCACTGTGCCACATGGTTGTTTTGGAGACCCCAAAGTGACCCTGCCATAAGGTACGTGGCTGTGGCAAAGAAGAGGGGTAACTGGGGTCTTCGAGAATCCCTGGGGGAGAAACTGGGCTCTGGATTGGAATGGCAGTGACACTTGTGACCAGGCCTAAATTTGAGGAACCACTTGCTGTAAGGCTTGGGCCCCAACCAGATGGGGGCTGGGAGTCAGTCTTCCCAGGCCTTAGCTTTGGTGACACAGATGGGAAAGGGCCTCAGGCCAGGCTCTGAGCTAAGCTTGGAGTTACCCTGAGAACAAGATGAGAGCTGCTACTCAAGAGTATACAACTCTTCAGGAATCCTCTCTCAATCTCTTTCCCCCCCATCTCTCCCTGTCCCCCCTCTTTCTCTCTCTTCTCCTCTCTATCTCTGTCTGTCTCTGTCTGTCTCTGTCTGTCTGTCTGTCTGTCTGTCTCTCTTCCCCAACCCATGAGCTACTGCTCTGTGAACTGACTGAAGCCAGGTACATTTCCACCCAGCCTAATAGCACTATACCATTCAACTTTTTGTGCCCTGCTCTGCCACAGGTCCCTAGAGACTCAGAACCTCACTGACAAGGTCACAAAGTCACTTCCTCCAAAACACTGGACCTCCCAGTCTGGGACAGAGTATATAATTAAGTCTCTTGCAACTTGGAGGTTGATTTCCTGTAATAAGCTGCTATATGCCGCTGGAAACCACTCCTGGGCTTGGGCTTCCTGATCTCCCTGGGGTATGCTTTAGGCATGATGTGTGAGTAGGTGTGTGCATGTTTGTGTGTTTTGCTCTGCAGTGGTAAGTATGTATATAAAGGTTTGTATGACACTGGTATGTGGTGGTATGTGACAATGTGCTTATGTCAAAGTGTAGAGAGTTTTAGGCTGACTAGGTTCTGGGCTTGCATACCTGATCCGCTCTATAGTGAGTAGGTGAACAACTGAGAGAAGTGAATTCCAATTCTCATTTTATCAAAGGGGGTTGGAGCCTTCCAGTCTTTGGTCCTGGTCACCTCCCCAGGCTGATGCTGGTCACCTCCCCAGGCACAGGGGAAATAGAAGGAAGGGCTTAAGGAGAAAAGAAATCTCATGAATGGACAGTGTGGGTTTTCTCCCTTGATTATCTGTCCCCATCTCCAGATCAAAACAGATCCCCCTTATCTGGAGGCATTTTGGGGGTCTCATGCACACATGAACATGTACACGTGTCTGATGTGTCCTGGTGGGGTCCCTTGGGCCTAGCAGTGTGTTTGGCAGGTGCTCAGTCTGTTTGTTGATGGAGGTGTGAAGGGAAGCGCATAAATGAGACACTTTGGGTTTTTCCACTGTCCTGGAGGAAGCTGGAGCAAACCACAATTTCCCAAGGGCCAGCAGGTGACTGCTGTCATCATGCTAATATTGTTTGTGGAGCCAC